TATGAATTTTTGGCAGCTCGAATTTTGATAAGCAAAAATATAAAACTTATCGAAATTTACCGTAATTCAACCGAATAAGACATCAAAATCCCATTAATTACGATTTTTTTCAGGCAAGCGAAACGCGCCCCGACTATCGCGAGTGCAAGCAAATGCCCTCTATCGTCTCGGCTAAATGTTGACACCCAATATACCGTAGTCCCTCTCTCTCTGCGTCTCTCTATTTCCCTGATCTCTCGTCCCCCCCAATAATTGCTGGTATGCCTGTGAAAGTCTCGGAAAATCGATCGATAATTCTCTCTCTCACCAATCAATCGATATATCTCCATCCAAATCGATCGATAAATATTACTGTTTATGGGTGTATTTTTTAGTCTGACAGGCACATTAAAAGATACTGTATTAAAACCTTTTTAAAATAGCTATATTAGCTATATAACCAGGGTTGAAAAACCGCTTCGCGGCTTTTCAACCCTGGACCCGTCTAGGATCGATGAAGTTATTGACTTTGCATAATCCTTGCCGAAAACCGCTCACCAAAAAATGAAAAGCGCGCCCTCTCTTCCCTTTTTCCATTTCACCATTTCCACTTCCGTCGTATGCTAATTGCTTCGTAACAAAGAGGGAAGCCAAAATTTTTACAAAAACCTAATTTTAATAGCGAAAATGGAAGTTTTTCGAAACTTTTATGTGTGTGCAGTCGATTCCGGCCCCTTCTTTACCCTATGACGTTTCTTCCCTACCGAAAAAATGCTTCCCTGAGGCTGTAGGTGCGGAACATCCGAACGGAAGTGCATGCAAATATACACACACACACACACACAAACACTATTTTTTTATATATAGTAGGATAGCTATATTTAAAAAATTTTTGGTATTTTAGCTAAACTGGCAGACAAAAGGATGGGCAGTTTAAAATATACCGTATTAGAAAATTATAACCTACAAACTACAAATAAGCCCGATTCAACTACAAACTACAAAGTATCGTACCTGTGTCAAGAGTATCGGCCGGTTGTTGACGGACAGGAATTCGATGGCTCCCTGGAAATCGCGGGGAAGTGGGCGGAGCTTGGCGGGGAGTACGGTAACCCCTCGAACACCTCCAATGAACAGGGGATGACCCGAGATGTCGAGGTGGCTGTTTTTCGGCTGGAAATAATTGGTTACGATATATCAAAAATTATATTAATGACTTAAAAATAAGGACTGACACCCAGTTTAGCCGATTAAGCCTGCAAATTCGTTTTTCGCAGAAAAATTCGATTTTTGCTCGGATTACTGTAAATTGGCTATGTGATCCATTACGCTATCGAAAGGCATATTGATCGTTAAGAAATCTTGATCGGCTGTCAGACTAACCAACTGCGCCATGAAACTAGTATTTTTTAGAAAAACTCGGTATTTTTCTCGAATTAATGTAAATTGGCTCCTGGAAGCTCGTGCTCCCTAAACTGCCTAATACAATTTCCGGGTCCATCCTATTGTTAGCTACATGTTTTTGCGGGGCCTAATTTTCCGCGTGTTCCTTGCCACAACTTTTCCAGAACTCATCTCTTTTTGGGGGGTTAGGATAATAATGGCGGACGGAGTGACGCGTATCGTCGCGTAGTCCCTAGAGACATCAAATGACATCTGACTCTCTCTCGCTCTCTCTCTCTCTCTCTCTCTCTCTCTCTCTTCCTCTCTCTCGCGCTCTCTCTCTCTCTGCCGCTTATGAAAAGCCCCTAAATTGGTGTCCCGCCCTATCGGATGTCTGCCAAAAATGTTATGCCCCCAAAAAGTGGCAGGGCCTTCGGGGATCCAAGTTTTTGGAAAAACGGAAAATAACATCTCTACCAGATAAAAGCACATTTTTGATATTACCATAGCTTTAACTGGGCGACAAACTACAAAAATAGCATAAAAATACGCTTTCGACCTCCAAAAATCAGATGCTCTAATAATTTGCTCAAAAGCTTATATGGTTAAAAAATGCTAGAAATTGGTCTATCGGCAGTAAAAAAGCATTGCGTAATTTAAATATAAGCCATAAACACAACAATCTCCAAAAATGCCAGTTACCCACCGGACTGGTCTGTTTATGCCGAAATCCCTCGTCGATTTGGATAAAGCCGTCACGGCCCGTACGCCCGAATACTATCGACGACCAGCCATGGGAGGGGATCGAAGGAGCTCTGGAAATAGACAATTTCGATAAGAAGAAGCGGAAATTAAGACTTTCTAAGCATAACTTTTAGCGAAAAAAAGGGAGCTGGCGGGCAGAAAGTCGAAAACCCTTTTAAAGTTTTTTTAAAATTAAATGTATTTAAAATGGGATACAGAAACCAGCAAAATCTATGTAAACAATTACGATCAGAAAAAACATAGGAACCCTAGGATTTTGGATCGTGATTTCTGGAAAATACGAACTGATAGTTAGAAAAAGCAGAAAAGTATTTTAAGCCTTTCTAAGATGTTACACATTGCCGAAAAATCGATATTATCGATCAAAATCTGGTACGAACTTGACATAAGCAATGCCACTGCCGAGATTCCAGAAGAAATGCGGCTGGGAGGCGATCAGGTAGAGGGCCAGAAAATCACCCGCTGAATTGCCGTTCTAAAAATACATTAAAAAATGGATCCTACTACGTTTCTATACCTTTAACGCGCCCCAGAATAACACTAGGCCATCGGTGGATTTTGGCTGGAAGCGGATTTGGACCTAAAAATGATTTTTTTGTAGTTATTTTTGTAAATAGCTATTTTTGTAAACTGACCTCCACCCTATCTCGTACATCCATTTTCACGTCTTCTACCGTAACCCATCCCTTTCCATCGAAGGAAACCGGCCAGAAGGGATAATGATCGATGGAGGGAGGAGGGGGAGCAGATTCTGTAGGTAATTCAGCACATCCGGAGATGCAATCGCATAGCTCTAAAGTCAAAGGTATATTTTTGTAAACTGACACCCACGATGTGAGTCTTTGAAGTCGGATTTCACTAGAGGTCTTCCGTTAATGGTTGCAGCCTGGATACAGCCGATAAACGAGCGACGTTCGGAACTGAAATTGTTAAAAATTAATTAAAATAGCGTTTCTTACTTTCTAAACCGAAATTCGTGCTTATTTTTACTTACTTTGAATGGTGAGCTACCTATTTGTCTGTGGAAACGACAGGCTACAGACTGCAGGCTACATAATACTGAATACAAGCTACAAAATCACAAAGTCAAAGTTTTTGCTTAAAAGTTAAGAAGTTTTTAAGGGTTTGGCGCTATTTTAGCCAGCTAAATAAGGCATAAACTACAAACCATCGGCTACAGACTACAAACTAGAAACTACAAAAATACACAAAACTTGGAAAAATAGCGTAAATTTGAATTTTTGCTCTAAAAAAATTACAAAAGATTTTTGAGTCTGTTTTTAGTCGTATGAAGCCATAGACTACAGGCTACAAACTACAAACTCCAAACTACCACTACTCACATGGCCCCACCGATGGCAATAGCCTGTATGGCCCCCGTCAACTGTTGATCCTCATCCAGCCGAATCGATATCGACTCCTGAAAGGACTTTCATGGCGTAATTGTATAAACTGGGAGGCAATTAGCCGTCAAATCTCAAAAATAAACATCAATATTGCAATTCAGTACCTGGTTGACGACCAATTGTACCGTACTCCCCGTTCCGCCTAGCCAGTTAATTTTTGCCGTCACATTTTGATGCAGGTCAATCGGGTGACGGGTTTTCAGCAGTTCGGAGCCAATTCTAAAAGTAAACGCTATTGTTATAAATATAGAAACACAAAAAAAAGGGTTTAAACACCGATTTTCAAAATTTTTTCCTGACTTTTTCAAAAAATTCTCGTTTTCAAGAAAATAATGAATTTTCTTCTCAAATAAGCTTTTAACTTGCTGATCTGCCAATCAGCTAACAAATTCGGCAAAGAATCTCTGCTCGTTAGGCCATAATGTCGGCGTTACGACTGCCAATTTGACGTCACAGACCGCAGAATCCCGATAAGCGCCCGGCTTTCAGGGTGTGCAAGTATTGCTCGATTTCCGATTTGTCTCTTCTGCTTATTAATTTTGGATGGCAATTACAAGGTAATCGATTAGGATATGTATTATAAGGTTTTAATTGCTATTGTCTAGACAAGATACCCAGAGATCTCATGGATCCTCCTCAAAAAGATCTCTTGTATCGTATGATTTCGATGAAGATGAGGTTTGAATTGTTTTGCAGATTTTCAGCTTCAATAATTCGATTACGCCAACAAATTCAGTTTTATTCATTTTGTAAAGCTTAAATTTAAATTTTAGAAACGTTAAATGTCTTTAAATTTTTTCTATGCTAATTTAACTGACAATTGAAAATTGTGAGTTTTGTAGGTTTTTCCCAGGTTAAAGTCGACATTTTGAAGATATTTTTAGTTTATACAATTTGCTTACACCATGTAATTAAAATGTTATTAACTTAATTTTCAGTATAAAAATGCTGAAATTAATTAGGAGTTTTAAAACAAACAAAAACTTTTGTTATAGGCTTTTCAGGCTATTTTTGATTTTGATCAAATTAAAAATATCATTAATTTTTGAAACAATTTAGAAAAATTAGTAGTCCATTGAAAAACAATAAAAACCCCTATTTTTGAAGAATTATCGATCGATATTTGGTTGTAGGAAATCGGCCGTCCAATAAATTGTTCATGGCTGCCATGTTGTATGGATGATGAGCAAGCCGAGTCTTTTGGCGAGTTTTATCGATTTTTATCGAATTTTATGAAATTCCTAGACATCCTTTAATTCCCCGATTTTTTGCAGGCCACCACGTCTCAGTGTTTATGGTAGCCCTCGTCGCTTTTGCCACCTTTTTCTGCGTGACGCTCATTTTGATTCTTGTTTTTATGCTTGGATAAATATAAAAACTGATTTTTATAGTTTTTTAGCATTACTGGCAAGCAGATTACATAATTTTCAATTTAGCAAGTTTCTGAAAAATTAAATTTAAAACTTACTGTAACAATAGCCTCCTCTGATCGACCCTCAACTGCAGCCGCTTCCCATATGCCATCAACACGTCCATTAATGCACCATTTGAGGCTGCGGCAGAAAACTAAAGCGATATATCTCAAAACTGACCTCCAAACTACAATATACCTGTAGTGTTACATTAAATACCCCGGAATATCGATTGATATTCGCCAAATGTGCCGTTTGGCGCCCGTCAAATCGCAGATTTAGTGATGGCAGGGCTAAAAGGGTATTTTAAGGTACAGCTACAAGCTACAAATTATACGTCAAAATAAAGACTACAAACTACAGATTCGATTAACCACAGACTATTAACTACAAAGTCACAAAATACAATTTAGAAAATAGCACAAAATTCAGGTAACATAGTGTAAAATACCGACTACAGACTACAAGATGCGCCGTAAAATAAAGACTACAACCTACAGTTCTAGTCACAGACTACAAACTACATACCTATCGTCTCCTCCCCGCAAATCTTCCCATCCCATCGGCGATTTTCAGGACATTGACACCGTCCGGCTTTGCCTCTTTGCAAATGGCAGATAGCGGAGAGATGAGCGCATTCACTCTAAAGAGATTAAATCGCGTAATTCGATGCTAACAGAAAAATTGAGAAGCGTAACCGAAGAAACTTCTTACTTGATAGCTACACGTCGATCCGATCGTCCGCTTCTGCGGATTTTGGGCCAAGAGGGTCTTCTGGCGATGTGAACGGTCCAGGGGAGGGGAGTTCAGGATTTCTAGGGTGTTCATAGAGTTTGTATAATCGGTTACACGATGTAAGAATTGCCGCACAATCGCTTACGCGATATAATGGCCAGAGAAATTGTCTTTTTCGCTGATTTTTTCGAAAAATTATATCTCAATCATTTATTTTTATTAGTCAGAGAAAGCAAATTTCCCGGGTTTAATCGATTACGCCATGTTTTAGAAACGCAATAGCATGAGTATAATTGATATTATGGTATTATTGATATGATTTATGCAATGAAACGGGAATAATAATAAATTTCTCAAGGTTTAATTTAGTTTCCTTTTCGTTCTTTTGGTAAGATTTTCCGATGATAACAAATTTTTGTGTTTAATCGGTTACGCCATGTTTTTCTAAACCTTTACTAATGGAAATATACCTTGCGGACAAATGCCCAATCCCACGGCGACGAGATCAATCTGATGTTTACAGGCGAATAGCCTCAATTCACATGGACCATCATAACTCTGGCCATCAGATCCACAAACTGTCATATTTGAGGCGATACCTTAATTGAAACGGATAAAATAGAAATAAAAAACGTTGAATACCGTATGCCGATACATCACATTTCATATCACACGCACAACTCGGCAATTCCCCGGGGGAATCCAGACATTTCGCCCCGTGCAGGCAGCGTTGCTCTTTGCAATTTCTGAAAAAAGGACAAAATTGAGAATTTTTTACAAGATTATAAATAGATTTAATCGCTTACGCAATGTAGAATAAGGCTGATTACGCGAGAAAAACGTTTTTTTTTAGTAGCTCTATGAGCTTTTCGAGGCCGAAAAGCGCTGAAATTACGAAATTGTAGGAAGTTTTGGCTGTATAAAATTTACTACTTATCGTATCAAACTGTAAAAGCGATCAATTTATGCGCTTTTTCCTGGGCTACAAAATACAAATTTTTATAGATTGGAAAAGTTGATCCGGCCGAGAAAATGGGCAAGAACGAGCCGGATCTGACGAAAAACTCATGAATTCCCACCTGGGCGCATGAAAATGATGGGGTGTCACGCATCCTTGTTGGGTGAGGATGAGCCCTTCTTGACATCGATCACATTTATCCCCTTCAGCCCCGGGTAGACATTCACATCTCCCGGTACTCTGCTCACAATCACCACGAGAACCACCGAATGAGGAGCAGCCACATGCTGAAAAGGAACAGAACGGATTGTATTAGATCCAGATAGAGAAATAATGTTTTTTAAGAATATCGATCGGCAAACTGGGCTACAAACTACAGAAAACTACCTGAAATAACGCATTTAGTATGAAACGTAACAAAATTGCTTTCATATTACGTTTAACTATGTAAACCAGGCCTTTTCCGCCTTACTCCACCTTACGTTTAGATACGTAAAGCAGGTATTTTCAAATTTTCTGTAGCTAATCTAGCCCACAATCTACAAAAAAATAGGTTGGAAATAGTTTTTAATGGAAAATTAATAAGGGTCAATGGTACTTACGAGTACAAGACAACGCGCCCTTCGCGATCAGATGGATCCCCCAGAATCCCGGGACACAATGGTCACATTTTGTTCCACCGACACCCGGACGACATCTAAATTGGGATAAAAACATAGAATTAAGGGAATGATAAGATATTAAATCTATTTTGACTCTACATACCTGCACTGTCCAGTAGAATCACAATTCGGCCCGTAACTACCCACACGATTACACGAGCAACCGTCTAAAAATGTAATTTATCGATTTTCGTTCGATTTCGTTTATTTTTAAGGTATCAAAATTTGCTTACCAGTATCACTATTCCCATTGGCATGACATTGTGCCATTTCTACCCTCATTATTGGGGTTCCTCGCTGGCAACTGGCCAGTTGGAGATGACAGATTGTCGGGTAGAGAGTTCCGTCTTCACCGCACACTCTGAATATAGGATTTTTAGGTATAACTAGAGGTATATTTTTATTAACTGGCGTCTTAAGTCTACCGGATTACGACATGAAAATGTGAATTGGAGATAAATCGAGTTATTTGTTGTACTCTAGACTACAAATCGGCGACCCATTTAACTATCTTTGACGCCAACCTACAAATTGGCACCCGGTGCACCCGATTACGACATGAAAATGCCTACCGTGAGCTGTCCGGAGCGGATACAGGACAATGATAATTGCAAGTGCATACGCCCCCGCGACACTCTTGCCCATAGCCACATTCCACGTTTTGGCAAGCGTCTACACCGATCGATAATCAGGATTAAACTCGATAAAGCGTTATCGTACCGCATTTCCCAGCAAAGGCCACCACGACAAATTTTCTCCGCTGGCAGGCACTTCTTCTCAAATGACATTCCGAGGAATATGTGACGCCATCTGTACCGCACACTGGGCCTTCCTGTAAAAATATAGCTTAAAACTAAAACCTAAAAAAACTACGTTCTTATATCAAATTAAAATCTAATAGAATTACCAGGGTTGAAAAGCCGCTTCGCGACTTTTCAACCCTGGCCCCGTCTAACCCCATTTTATCCTTCACTTTACATAACTGTCCTGAATTCAGATGACAAACAATGAAAAACAACTTCTTCTGTGCCTTTATATAGACGAATCACCACTTCCGGTCTATGCTAATTATTTCCTAACAAAGGAGCTTTCACAAAAACTTAAATTTAATGTCGAAAATGGTTGATTTTGTAAAATTTGATATGTGTGCAGTCATCTCAAGACCATTGCGCACCTAATGACGTATCAAACATACCCGTAACTTCATCCCCTATCGAGATATCCTCCGGACAGACAGACGGAAGTGGATGCAAAGTGGCACACACACACACACAAACACTATTTTTTTATATATAGTAGGATAGTATAAGCGATTACGCCATATAATCCCGTCCCCCCTACCTTTCCATTGCTGTTCCCTTGCTGCTGTTGTTGATTGTTATTGACCGGACACTCAATAGGACATTGACATGTCCCTGTACCCTTTCCATCAGACACACAAATCGAATAGAATTCACATTTGTCACGCAGTTTCTCGCAACCCTCTAAAATAACGTATTCAATTACGATACTATATCCATACCACAGATTCCGTTATATTTCACGAAGAGCGATTGCCCTGTCTTGCATGCCGTCTGTCTCAATCGGCACTCATTCGCGTACGTTTGACCGTCACTTCCGCACACCTGGAAGGGGTTTAGTTTGTAGTTTTGTCGAAAATCGAGTTTTTGACCCATTTTTTGGTGTGAAAATGTCTACTGCATGCCGGTATATCCTTAGATACCCTTAAAAGCGAAACGTTTCTTGGCCGTACAAAGTAAAAAAAATAGTAAACTGCATAACCTCGAAATTGCCGTTTTTGCTTAAAAAAAGGCGTTTTATTTTTTTTTGCGGAGAAAATGTCTACAGTATGTCAGTTTACTTTTCCATGCGTATAACGCCCGTAAAAATATAGATTTTTTGATTTTTGACCGCATAAACGAAACGAGCAAATGAAGAACTGCATAACCCAAATCTGCTTGAATCCCGTTAAAAATAACCCCCTCGCTATCAAATATGGTAGTTCGTATGTCAGTTTATTGAAAACTACTGTAAAAACCTCTACTATGAATCCGACTATTAAGTTTAAGGTTTAACCGATCAAAACCCGTAAAGAACTGACCTCCTTGAGCTCGTCCCCGCATTCCGGGCATACACACCGTGGTTTGTCGCCTTTTGGCACGCAGACTTGAGGGGCACGACAACCAGTAAATGTTGAACACACGCCAACACCTAGAAAGAGACAGTACGGTAGATTACGGTAATTTGGGCACGATATAGGATTCCTACCACAACTTCCGGTATGCCGGACAGCCAGCCTCTTCTTCGCTTCACACCCCGCTTTTCGCATCTCGCACTCATTACTGTAGGTTTTGCCGTCCTAAACAACTATGTATTGGTTTTTAAAGGACGGTTGAAGACAAAAACTTGCAGAAATTGAGATTTTTCTCCAATCATTTCCGCTAGCCGGCCCTAACAATATTTTTAAATTTTCTTCGTCTTAATTGGCATTCTGCCAGTCAGTTTATCGATTGGTTAACTCACAATTAATTATTCACAATAGAATAACCGTACCGTAGCACAGACAGGTTTGACAATCTGCGGACATTCCCCATCACATTCACATTTTGCCGTGTTTTGAGGGGATATTTGGCATCGGGTACCCGGTGGACACATTAATGAGGAGCACGGATTTCCCACGTCTAAAAATAAAAATAAAAATCGATATTTCGCTTTTAAAGGGATTGAGAAGGCAGGGCGATGGATTTTTGGCTCTCGCGGTTTCCACGGTTTTTTTGTGTGCGATTTTTGGGCTTTTTTCCCGGCTTCCGGGTATAATTGATTACGCACTCGAAATCCGGAGCGTGCGTTGCGTGTTGCGGAACGGCATGATCCCTATTCCCTTGCCGGTCCCTTTAACGGGACCATGCTAGGTAGAAAATCTCCGAATTTTTTAGTAAATTGTCTAAGATACTGTAAAATAATATTTTAAATATGTACTTTGTTACCTTTGCAATTCCCCTCTTTCCATACAGTAATCTGACGATCCTCTCTACAAGCAGCCACTTTCATCACACAATCATTCTCATAGGTCTGTCCATCACTACCACAGACTGGAGAACGATGCAGAGGACATTGCTGCGAACATCTGAAAATATCAGGTTGGAACGAAAGTTCTGTCGCCGAGATTTTGGAAGGCTGGCTAAATTCGTAGATAGCTCCATTCTGCACATGCGATATGTCATTTTGTAGCTCTCGGCCTGAATGGTTCCGGGAGGAGGGTCCTGGGCCCTCAAAATCAAGAACGGCCGAGATACAGGCCCAAGAAGATTTTTCAAAAATTACGAGAAAGTGTTTTTGCAAGTTATCTCTGCATAGAGACATTTGCATGCGATACCTTTAACGCCAATCGATAGCTCTTGAGGAGTAGATATCGATAGATGTTGAGATCATCAAAATTGGACACTGGATGGCCGAGATATGGCCCCTTGAAGTTTAGCCCATTTCTTAGAACTTTTCCCGATTTCCCATACATTTTTTCAAAATCCGCTCCGCTAGTCCAAAAATAAAGCGGTAATTTTTGGCACCCGTCCGTCAAATTTTTGGAAATGTATGGGAAATCGGGAAAAGTTCTAAGAAATGGGCTAAACTTCAAGGGGCCATATCTCGACCATCCAGTGTCCAATTTTGATGATCTCAACATCTATCGATATCTACTCCTCGAGAGCTATCGATTGGCGTTAAAGGTATCGCATTTCCGTTCTTGATTTTGAGGGCCCAGGACCCTCCTCCCGGAACCATTCAGGCCGAGAGCTACAAAATGACATATCGCATGTGCAAAATGGAGCTATCTACGAATTTAGCCAGCCTTCCAAAATCTCGGCGACAGAACTTTCGTTCCAACCTGATAGATAGATCGAGGTGGAAATTCATGATTTTAGGCATTTTTCTGATTTTCTGTGTGTCAGTTTGTCTGTATGTCTGTCAAAAAGATTCTTATCTGTCTGTCTGTCTGTCGATCAATCAACTACCTGCATTCGGGTCTTCGATGCTGTCCAATTTTACACGTCGTCCCGACCGCACAAACATGACCGTCGCATGGATCTGGAGAAAAAAAGATGGATTTATATATATCTCTCTCTCTCTCTCGCTTTCTCTCTCTCTCTTTTGAAAGACCACTCACCGCATTTTCCATAATATTTCAAAGTTATATTGAGTTTTGTCTCACAGGCGTCTTGTTTTAGATGGCAGAGGGACTAAAAAGCGATATATCATTTTTAGATAATTTTTTAATGCCATTAAATATCATACGGGCTTCCAGTGTAACTATTTAAATCCAGAAAACGTAATAAAAATAGGTTGTTAAAAGAATTATACCTTGTAATCCTTGCCGTGAGTCGAGCAAACTGGAGAACTTTGGACGGAATCCCCGTAATTAGGGCAATGAGTGGGGCAGATACAATGGCCGGAGAGAATGCCGTTTTTCTAAGAAATTTCGTTAAATTTTATACAGAAAAATACAGTACCTGTTCGACGATACAATCCTCCCCGGGGCCACATCTCAAATCATCGCACGGGTTCTTCTTTTCTGCAATCAATAAAATAGTAAAATACCTCGAAAATTGGTAATTTCTATTCGATTACGCTATGAAATGACCAAATTCGGATCGAATAGGCTGCATAATGCGGTGTGTTTTTTAAAAATCGATTACGATAGAAAAAATTATGGACTAAAAACCCTGAAAATTGCCAAAAAATGAACAACTCCGATTACGCTATCAATCCTCCAAAAACTTGAAATCGATTCCGCTATTAAAACCATTTCTGAACTGTTAACCAATAAAGCTAAATTTCACAAAAAGTATAAAAATTACCATTAGAATATTTGAAACAGCCATCCGCAAACGTAATTAGTAGAAAAAGTACGAGGTACACCTCCTTACACCTCATTCGAATAGCGGAATGGATCGGAATTTGGAAGTGGACGAAGAGGAGGAGGAGTAGGAGAAGGAGGAGTAGGAGGTTGAGAGTCAACCCATTCCCATCTCTCAACTTCACAACTCAATCATGGCACCCGAGGGAATAGCGGAAGGGCAGAGGGAGGGAGAGGGGGATTGATTCCATTCCATTACTCTTTACACTCATATCTAGTTCAAAATCGCGCAAGTGAGCATGGATTTCGGGAAACTGGCAGGCAGACAAGGTTCAGGATTAATTTGAAGCCATTCTGAGGGTTGCAAGTGGTAAGGCAGGTTATGCAGTTTTTTCGGAAAAACATCACTGGTGCTGACTTTGCAGGCGCAGTTTTTTGGGGTTGTCATTTCCGCGCCAGTTAAAGTTTCCAAATGCTAAACTGCCGCCTAATCTGTAGTTTAGAGCATCTCGTAGTCCCTTTCGAGCAAAATTTTGTGTTTTTGGGACCCAATGGGTCTCTCCGGTTATGCAGTTTTCTGGAAAATGTCTTATTTTTGCCCAAAACACAGTCTTTTCGGCCGGTCAAAGTAGGGGAGTGAACTAGATTCTGGTTTGTAGTTTTACGCATTTTGTAGGCCATGTTGAGCAGAATTAGCATTTTAGTGACCTAATCGGATGTTCGAGGTTATGCAGTTTTTCGAAAAATCTTTTATTTTTCCTTGAAAGTATAAAAAACCATCAGTTAAGGTATCGAAGCGTTAAACTGGCTTGTACTCCGTAGTTTCAACCGATTTATACTCCGTAATACACCCCCTTCCCCTGTCTGTCTATGCAATATAGCACCCGGCTGCCCCTTCAAGAGGTCCCTCTCCCTCACCCCTATTTGTGTTCCTCTAGGTGTGAATCAGTGTGCCCCCCATAAATGACTTGTCTGTCTGCCAGTCAGTTAGTCTGTCTGTCTGTCCACATCTTCATCCGATCCCTCCCTTCAGAAGGGCATCTTCTGCCTCTATTTGTTTGCCCTGTGGGGGGCCTAGTTTCGGTCACTGCTCATCCCTTCCCCGCTGCCTATATTCCGCCCCACAACTAAACAACGACTACCGCAAACTGGTAGCTGGATGGAAGAAACGATAAAATGACAGTCAGAGTGTCGATTGATAGACTAAAAATTGAGGTACTTGATTGTTAGGGGGGAGAGGGAGAAATTCGACTCTTACCCTGAAACTGGGATTCAATTTTTTTGTAATATAAATAGCGACCGTGTGGAAAAACGGTTTTATTATTTCTACGCGTAAAAAATTTTACAAATCTTACAAAATAAAATACAAAATTACAAAAATGTCGACTTTGCGACTGAAAGTTGCCAATTTTCGGCAAAAATTTCAATTTTTTAAAGTTTCGCAAAAATGTTCGGCTTTAAATATAGTTAAATGTTGCTAAAAATTTATTTTATTAAAATACTTACTATTGCGTCACTAGGCATTTCTGGAATTATAAAAAAATTTCGGTCCCAAAATTCCGAAAACCACCCACCACAAGCTCCAACTTTTGCCACTCGCAGCACCAAGCCTTTTTTGGCCAGAAGACACGCACGGACCTGTAAAAAACGGTTTATTGACGTTCAGATTGTATTTTGTAGTCTAGCACAGTGTGTACTTTGTAGTTTATAGTCTGTAGTCTAGCAAAAACCCACTCCCAAATGACAATGCGATGCATAGGTAACGTCATCACTCCCACACACCACCCTCGGTTTCCGCTCCACGCATCGCGTACGGCACTCGCATTCGCCACTGAAACATAAAATAAAGGTTTATGCATTTATACGATTTTAAAGGTGGCGGAACAGTTCGGCCATTCTTGGCATTTCACCCCAAAATTGTGGTTATAAATCTTAAAAATGCATTAAAACTCTAAACTGCCATCCAGATAAGCTAAAACAAAGGTATCGGTGGGTCCCGCGTTGATATTCAAGTTTTCACTCCCAAAAAAGGCTATATTGGTTGGCAGATAGGCAGCTGGGCAATATCCTAGCGATCCAGATAACCATCCAGCTGTTCTCATGTACCCTCAAATATTTGCAATGAGCATGTTGCTACCTCTCTGCTCTCTCTCACGCTCTCTCTCACTCTCTCTCGACTCTCTCTCTGTATCACTCTCTCACTCTCTCGCTCTCTCTCTCCCTCTCTCTCTCTCTCTCCTCTCTCTCTCTCTCTCTCGTATATTGTAAGTATCTCAACCTTTCCCTCTCAATATTGACAATTTTCAGCTGATGGCCTGGGGGCATGTTCCATGCTCTTCTCTCCCTGTTTGCCATAAGGATTATAATATCTGTCGGTTCCCTTCTATCTAGCCGACCCCTGAAAGACCACACAAACTTCTCCATGGCTTCTGATTTGCCGGAATTGATTGGAGTGGTGCGGAATTTCAGCTTGCAAGGAAAAAATTCTCGATTTACCTTGGATTAAACTATTTACTGCCTGCCAGATTACTGATCTACACAATCTAATACAATTTAAAGGACCGCTGAAGCCAAAAATGGATGATAAACCCACGTGGCCGGCGTACACTTCGATCCAAACGGACAGCTCTTCTGCTCACAGAGTACTAAAAATCAACTACAAAACAAAGGGAAGTGCTTACGTGGCTTTTGCTGTCGGCGACGTCGGATTTCGCGGTCTGAAAAAAAAATGCAATTTTAGCCAAAGCGACCACAAACTACGGCCCAACTACACACGTTTCGGGCCGTATTCTCTGGTTTGTCGTCAATTCTCTAACGGCTGAGGTTTTTCCATTTTCTAGTTCATAGTTCTGTCAGTCAATTTATCAAAATAAAACCTTCAGACTCTCATCCATTTGATTTTAGCGGTACTTTAGATGCCGGACTTGGTCAGGGATTTTCAGAAATTGTGGTGAGATTGGAATTTTCACGAAAAATCTATTTTTTTTGCCGGTAGTTCTGCTAGCTGCCAGTCAGTTTTTCCAAAAAAGCCATAATCCTCTATAGATTTTGACTTTAGGGGCCCTTAAAACGTTGTCCATTTGTTAGGGCCATATTGTTCGCGCAGCAGGCTGGCTACTGCTAAACATTCTGGCCAAGCATAGAGAGAGAGAGAGAGAGAGAGAGAGAGAGAGAGAGAGAGAGAGAGAGAGAGAGGGTAGCTAATTACAGGAGAGTAGTGGGAATACAATGGACCGACAAGGGAGAGGCAGGTGAGGGAAGGGAAGGGCCCATTCTAAGGACCCACCAAATATGGGCAGACACCAGAACGGGAGGGTGTAATTGGACTATTAGCTCTTAACACTACACACCAATATTTCAGAAGAGGCAATTGCCAGCCAGAAGGCGTAAAAATTATCAAAAGAAGTAATTCTATACACTAAAAAAAATTTAAAAATGACAGACTAAGAAAGTTGATTATTGGATTTTTTAAAAATTGTGCGATTTTGCTATCGTAATGAATTATTTGTTTTAGCCAATGTTCAATGGCTATGTAAGAAATTTGAAACAGGATCTATGCAAGACAAATAAAAAACAAGGTCAATCAGGTCAACCGGATGTTGCGCAATTTCGAGGGCCGATAGACCAAAAGGGTCTTAATCCGTGGTTTACAGCTATATGGCCACAGCATATCTATCAAAATTTGCATATTGGAGGTCAGTTAGAGGGGAGAGAGAGCGAGGGAGAGAGAGCGAGGGAGAGAGAGCGAGGGAGAGAGAGAGAGATGAGAGTGAGAGATACAGCCAGACCAAGGAAGGCGAGAAATAGCCACAAGTTTAACCTACGTGTAGAAATTGAATGCAACACATCGAGTATCGACAAACTGACCGGAAGAGGGACTTTTGAAAGGTAGAAGGTACCCTAAAAGTATCAATTTTGAAACGTATGTGAGCCAGAAAGCATAAAAATTAAAATCTACCTGTTCATACTGTAGGGCAAAAACTTTCGTATCTCCCTGGAACCACCCCGAGCGACATTTCTAAAGTTTTTACTTTGTAGTCTGACCGTAAATCCAGTTATTTTACCGTTTTCCGGACCTCCTCCGTCACTTTCAACCGGATCCGGTTGCGTTCAGCTACCAGTTTTTGGCCCTTGAATACCCGGTGGATGTCGATTACGGCTTCCTGAATATGGCTGCTTGAAAAATACCCTACAAATTGAGGAACTCGCCTAGAACAGAACATTTTTTATTTTAATTTAAAAAAAATTAAACCCAAACTTTTAAAAGTCTATTAAAATGAAATTTGCCATTTCCCCTGACAATAACGGTTAAATCACTAAAAAGTATCGCTATCTCGCTCTCAAATATCTTCAAAACATACCTCTACTCTCAACGTAACCGTATCGATGGATATCTCATGTACAGTAGCCGTCAATAGGATCGGGGCGGAATGGAATGTGGCATTTAGATGTTTACGATTTAGATGGGGGCAATGACGAGAAGAGAATACGGTTGAATATACACAAAATAAAAACAATAAAAGTAAGTTTTCCCGGGTTTTCATTGTTGGTTTGGACTATCTGGCTGGCATCAGGCGATTAGACAGACAGAAGATCAGAAATCGGGCGTAAATGTTTAGGTAACCGGATTAATAAATTTTTGGCAACACTGTAGGGATAACTGGCAGCCAGAATACAGGTTTCAATAAGAAAATGAATAAAATAGCTTTTGGTTTGGGCAGTAAGGTGGTTGGGACAGGAATATGGCCCGCGGGGTAAGCGGGTAAGGGGCTGGGGGGTAAGGCGGAAGGGGGCGGAGTCTGGCAGGGAGGGTAAGGGAGAGAGAGAGAAAAGGTAAGCTGACTGGTAATATTAACAAATAAAGCTTTATTAAGTTTTGATGATCTACCATTATTTTCGAGGCATTTTTGCGTATTAATAGGATTTGCTTTTGATTTTTTAATTTCAAGGATTGAGGTTTTTCTATTTGAGTCTATTAGTAGTTTTAGGTTGACTTTTAAAGCATAGCAGCTTTGAAATCAGAATCTGGACCCGCATATTGAGCTTGATAATGCGGGGGGGGGAGGTATGTCAGAACGGCGCCGGACCACAAATTGCCTGCTAAAAAACTGAAAGTTTATGGAGGATTGGGCTGGCGTGTCTTTTCCTTCTAAAGGTTATCAGTTTTATTTTGCACTTATTAGTTTGAAACTTACAAGGCCAGTTCTCGTGAAGTTTTGCTTTGACAGCAGCGATAATGCGGCCGAATCCACGAAGCAATAATAATCAGCTGCAGCTGCTACCTTGCTTTTGCTTTAGATCAAGGTTGTGGATCTCGATGATGATTTCCGCGAAGTCAGGTCGTGATTTATCGAGAATACTCCTCATAGAAAAAGTCGGCCGAAGTCGGGAATGAACAAGGAACGAATTATTCGGATGCGGACGGGTCCGGGTCCGCGTCCGTCCCAACCCGCCAGTGAACGACCCGGCTTACGACTATCATCAAAAATAAACGAGCCACGCTGAAAATAGGCACGAACCAAAGCTTAAAACGTATCCTACTATCCTACTATATATAAAAAATACTGTTTGTGCGTGTGTGTGTGGCCACTTTGCATAAATGGCTCAAAAATTTGGGGTTACCAAGATACCAGGAAAGGGGAAGAATTTTCCGGCCCGGTCGAAAGGTATTTAGGGGGTAGTTGGGGGCGTAGATTACTGCACGCTTATCAGATTTTTAATAAAATGACGATTTATACCTGATTTTAGCTATTTTAAAACATATGGAAATATCCTCATTTGCATAGGAGGCACTAGCAGGCTCATTTCGGATTTTGTCAAGCTCGCGGCCGGTTGCTTTTGCTATTTTTGGGGGCGGTAAAAATTCGCTCAAGTTATGCAAAGTTTGAAAATTCCCCGCGCAATTGCCAGGGGTGAAAAGCCGCGTAGCGGCTTTTCAACCCTGGTTCTTACTGTAAAACGTTGTTACTCAACTTGCACTGATTCGGGACCAAGTGTATTTTGTACACACAAAAAACACGCTTTTTATTATAATTATTGTTGTGAACTCAAAAACGCGTATCTCACAACCGCCGATGGGTTCGGTCCAGATGGTTCAAGGGAAAGGGCGTACTGTGCGTGTTTTTCGCGCGTTGCGTGCCGGTGCGCGGAATAGCAACCGGTCTTTAGCCGCGCAGGCCTGCTTTCGCAATTTCGCGACGCGTCTATCGCACGCGTTGCGGTCTTCCCTCCTTTCCAAAGCTACCGCACGTTTTATTAGGAGCCGGGCCGCTGTGATCTAGCCCTTCTTAACATGGAAAATGAAGCGATATCACAATCGAACAAAAAAATTTGGATTCTGAAGAACAGTTTTAATATTATTGCCGAATTACTATTGAAATAAACGTCCGCAACAAATTTGGCAAAGAGCATTCGAATCAGTGAAAAAATTCTGCACAAGATGAACTTGGTCCCGAAATTGTATCGATTTTTAATAATGGTCTTGATAGTTTTATTTCCAGGCGGCACTTACTATGGCGCCGAAATGTCGTGCGCCGAATTCGGTAGGCGCCGAAATATCTGGCGCAGTTCTGTCCTACCCCCAGGGTCTTCGTCTCGGACCGTAAAAAACCCCTCATTCCCATCTCTATGCAATCGAACTTTTCGGTACTTCTTTAAAGAGATAGGGGCGGCATAAGTCAATCGATTACGCGAGGGAAAGAAAATGTCTCTGCGCCTCTCCCCTGGGCGCCCTCTTCTCGCCGCGGGACCTGTTGAACCCCCCTCCCCATGGGGGGTTCAACCGATGCCGTCCTCATCTCTTTAAAGGGCTGCCGACGGCATGTGTCGATCCCCCCTCATCAACAAATTGGCAAGTAGCCAACAGGCAGAGAGCGCGCCCAGGGGAGAGGCGCAGAGACATTTTCTTTTTCCGCGCGTAACTGATTGTCTATGCCGTCGGCATCCCTTTAAAATTTAGCAGCTAGAATGCACGGCATCTCAGGGGCCGCAATTACGACATGTAATTCCGGGGCTCTTTTCGACCAACAATACTAAGAGGAAAATCTTTGATGTGTCATAATCTAGGTGATTTCTCTATGAGGGATCACTGCTAGATTACGATGTTCCCATTTGGGTAACTACGATTTACCTTCTAAGTCCGCATACTAACTATACTGAACTTATCTGACCTCCGTGCTAAGGTTGCATCTCTGTAATTAACTACGTCTATTAATAACTTAACCCATTTAATGGTAAATTGGCACCCTAGACTAGTTCCGGGAAGCTGAAGGAGAAGACAAACATTAATGTGTGGATAAGTGGCCTGATGGCGCTTTCGATGTAATTGACTGTAAAAGTGAAGCTTACGGTATGGGGTTTTTCTTAGTTTATTTAGCATTCCTTAAGAGCAAAATGTGCAAAGGGTTTTTAAGGAAAGAGATAAGAGCCCGGGAAAGGATGCCAGGCAACACGGAGACTCAGGCCCAATAATTTAAAATAAGAGATCATAAAGATCTAAAAGTCAATCCAAAAAGATTCAGGACCATCGGCCCTTCGGCCTCCGGTCCCTCCTCTGGGTTTTCTAGGTAAAGCTTAGAGCTAGCGTACCGTTCCTAGACTAGGTCAAGACTGGGCAAGAAGTGGGGAGGCCCCCGCAGGGGTCCTCCCGGGGCCTGTTCCTCCGCGTGGGCGTGTCTCTCCCTATCATATAGGACAGATGGCTTATAACTTTTTATTTAGATTCTAACTTCAAAAAGTGGATTTCCAGAGTTGTACAAGAGAATGCGCTCTTTCAAATGTGCCTAAAGCAGAAGAAAACCGAATTAAAAAATGAATTGGACCAAGGCTTTGAAGTTTCCGGTTTTAGACTAGAGTTTGGTACAAACCGGGGTGTATTGGAGCGTCGCGTAGCCCCATTCTCGGTGCAAATTCCCCATTTTTCGTTGCGGCCGAAACCATTGCTTGAGTTGCCGTGAATGTCTTTTTTTTCCGGTTACCGTCCGTAGCCGTTCTGGTGAAATGACACTTTGGGCGCCACCTTTACCTACTTTGTACCCCGGATTAACATTTTTTTCATCTGTTGCTAAAAGTATCGGACATTTCGGCGGTTTTTGCAGTGTTTAGACATAGAATTCCTCGTTTTTTTCAAATTGCTAAAAATATCTGACTTTTAACAGGCTGATTTCTACGTATCTCACTCTTTCACGACCTTCAAACCGTCTCTACAGCCTTTTAAAATAAAGGTTCACTTTTTCGGGGAGTGCATCGTCAATTTTTGAAGATTTAATCCTTATGCTGACTATTTAGGGTTATTTTTAGGTTTCCGAATCTCTAAAAAGCTTTATAAGCACGAAATTTTTTCGATCAAAGCTGAAAAATTCGGCCTTTTGTTAGTCCCCCCCCCCTTGCCTGACGTTGGTCCCCTCCCAGTCCTCCTCCCGCTGGTCCCCCTTCTGACTTCCCTGTTTTTGTCGTCGTTTTACACTTTTTATACCCAACCGGTTGAAAAAACCATTCATAAGGATTGCCTTGCGGTTTTCTACTTTTTTCCTTTTTTAAATCGGGTTTTGCTTTTCCTTTTCACAAATAGCTCGGGAGAATTCTATCCATATTTCGTTGTGATCATCACTTTTCGGGCTTTCGGAGACTTTTTAGAAATATTCTGTGATTATTACGGCTTTTTAGAAAATGTGCTATATATTTTTGAAAGCCGGCTTTCCTATTCTTTCTATGTATTTTCGGGATTTTCGAGGATTCGTTTTATAAACCTGCTTTTTTCAGGGTAAACCAATGCCTGGCGTAGATGAGCCATTCAGCTCATCCCCACGAACCGAAGCCCTGCTGAATAATGTCGACAATTTGATCTTGGATGCGTATGGGGCGATTAATGAATCTGGTGCGTTTTTTGATGCTTTTAAAAATTTGTTTGTTTTTCAGGTGCCTACTCTCTGCCCGGCAATTATGCATCACCGGTATATTCCTACGTGGATCAATTTTTTATCGCTTTTTTCCAGGCTCGAGCCTCCTCCCGCGCAAGCAGTACGGGCTCTAACAAGGGCGTAAAAATCCCGAAACCCGCCGCCTCGAGTAATGATGGAAGTCCGAGATCTGGAGGTACATTTTCGGGTTTTGCGAGAATTTTCCACATTTTCTAGGCCGCGGTTTCTTCGGCAGAATCTTCCGAAAAGACGGAGAGCCGGCCTGGGACGAACCGCTGGTTAGAAGCCCTAGAAAATTCCAAAAAAAATGATATTTTTTTAGATAACAGACAACGGCTCTATCGCGCGGTTCGTGTGGGATGCCCTCGAGAAGAAGAATTCGAAAAGAGACAGGATTCGAGTGTTGGGAAGATTACAGGAGGTTTAGCTATACCTTTTTTACGGTTTTGTCTTTTTTTCAGCTAATGATCTCAAAAACGCTGCAAGTCTCTTCAATCGAGGGTATCGTGCATCAATCCATCGATCTGGTCACCGATCCGGATTGCAGGGATTTTGTTATTAGGTAGAAATCACTTGAAATTTCGAGTTAAAACCAATTCCAGGGCCTATATCTCCATCACCCAGACTCAATTCGACAGTATTTGCATTGTTTTGAGGGGACAATTCTTTGATGTGGGTTTTTAGACGATTTTTATACATTTTTTTAGAAAATCCAGACCTCTGAACTGGATGCGCGAAGCCTAGAATGGCTGATGGCGCTGACAAAACAAGGCACAGTCATTCAAGGACTCGAAAAAGTACGATTTATATCATTTTTATCTATTTTTAAACGTTTTTAGGTAATGGACCACCACGTGCTCCAATGGCTAAAGGCACATATCGATGGAAGTGACCCGATTCTTGCCGTGGATGTCTTCAAAATGACCATCAATATGGTTACGGAGAATCTGGCTTTTTTGTAAGTTGGAAATTGACCCAACACAAAGCCAAATTTTCAGGTCAGAAGACGTACTTGGAGAGATGCTGCACATTTGCACGGTTCGAGCGATGAATACGGGAGATGCGCTGAGTCTACGATGTCTCGAGATTATACGAATTGTGGCCCAGAAAAAGTAAAGAATTTGTAAATATTAATATTTCGGTTTTTTTTAGTGGAATTCCGGGCGACAGCTATCAGAAGGTGGTCCTCGGCATTTGCTTTGTTTTGCCCATCGAGGGTAAGGGAAAAGTAGGTTTTATAAAATTGATATTTTTAATCAAATTTTTAGCTCTCCGACAGCCTTCAAAATGGCCAGGCCATCGACCACTCGGAAGCGCGCGAGCTCGGCTTGAACTCCACGGAGGCGCTGACCGACTGCAACAAGAAACAGTCTGCTGCCGACCGACCTGAAGAGGGCGAAAAGCTGCTCGGCTACGTAAAAACGCTCGTCAAAAAGTAGGAATTCAGAAATGTTTGCAATTTTCCGATTTTCAGTGCCACCTACTCCCACAAGGCGCACTTTCCCAGGGTGCTGAAATGCCCGCTCTTTTTCGTCATTCTAACGATGTTGCTAAATTCCCACATGGTACGAGAATTCGATGCAACTATCTATTTCTATTTGCAGGTCAACGCCAACGTGTCGAAGGCAAATACTAGCCCGGGCCGTTTTCTGCAAATCTTTGGAGCGGTGCCCTTCAATAACCCTGCAAAGAGCTTTGAAGAGGTCGGTTTTGAAGTTTTGTAGCGAACTTTGCGGGAGTACGCTGAGCGCCTGGTCTTTTTTCCACATCAGGGCTGGGATTCATATCAAATTTACACGTGTAAAAATGGGCAAAAATTTACACACGTGTAAATTTTTACACGTCTGATTTACACGTGTAAATGAATTTACACGCGTGTAAATGGATTTACATGCGTAATTGTGCAATTTTAGAGGGTTTTGGCGGCTAAAAAAGCTTTTACACGCGTGAAAAAATATTTACACGCGTGTATTTTGGGGATTTTGCGCGGGATTTTGAAAAAAGGCGGATAGAACATAGAATAAAGAGAAGAAGGTATGAAAATGCAACTTGGCAACTTTTTCTTCAAGGTTGTGGGAGTCGGCGGACGAGTTAGTGTTTTTTTTTGCGTCGGCGGACGCTTTTTGTGATGGTCCTCAGCCAGCCCAAGATCACTAAAAGTGCTCCGGGGCGCTTCGATTAGAGCATTTCTAACCTCCTTCTAACGGTATACTTAATGTTACACATAATGAATCCATTTCGCTTGACACTGAGTATTTTGGAGTGCCAACGACACCAAGCGAACGAGCGAAAAAAGTTTCATTGACTCAACGAGGGACAGGGCAAGCGGCAGAGCCAGACTGCTATTTCCTTCCCAAAAAAGTCTCCAAAGTGGTCCTTGGCATTCAACAACCTCGAATAAATGTCGTCAAGCAACGCTCCAAATGAGTTGGGAGCTGTTTAGTGACGTTATTTGAAAATACTTGGAAAATGATGTCTGCGCTGATCAAAGTAGCCTAGGGCATATTGCAGTGTAGAAAACGCGGTTTTGGAAATATTAGAACAACGAATGGCTCAAGTCTAGGAAACCCCCCCAGCCGTAACTTTTCAGCCATACGTCCTATTAATGCGCCGAGTATCTCAAAATGTTCGCCGTGGTCGAATTACTCTAAAAAGTTGTTTCCATACACAAAAAATTGTTAGAAAAATTTTTATGACAATTATAAGTCTGGGTTTTCTTTAATTAATTTTTCCTGGTCTAAAGTGAGTTTTCGTATCCCGGCTATCTTTTGTCCTACAGAGCTGTCAATAGTATCGAAATGTAGCTCTTGCCTTGTAGAATAAGGCTACAGTACATTTGAATCAAAAAAATAGCGAAAAAAAAAGAAAATAATTGAGTTTTAAACGCTTAGTACATTGAGGTATGGCGACTTAATATTTTCACATTTCAAAATCTTGTAAAAAATTTTCTAACAATTTTTGATGTATGTAAACAACTTTTCTATAGTAATTCGACCACGGCGAACTTTTTGAGATACTCCACGCATTAATAGGACGTATGGCTGAAAAGTTACGGCTGGGGGGGGTTTCCTAGACTCTTACCCAACGAATTCTATGGTTGGTAAGGTCAAAAATGATTGCCTAAAATTTTACACGCGTGTAAATTTATACCTAAGAAATTTACACATGGAACAGACGTGTTTTTGGCCCAAAAAACATCCTTTAGAAAAACCTTTATTAAAAAAATTCCAGGGCACTTGGGGGTCCAAATTTTTTTCGACTAACTGTCAAGACCCGTCGCCATCTAGTATCGCTGCAAATTTTACGCAAGGATGGTTTTCCGATTTTCTGGAGGGTTTCAAAGTTCGTGTGTAAATTTCGGCCGCTCGCGTGTAAATTTTTCGGTTTTTTGCTCAACTTTCGCGAAGGCCATGTTTTTTACACACGTGTAAAAAAATTTACACGTGTGTCAAAAAATGGTAAATATTTACACGTGTGTTTTTCGTCTCTTAACAAATTTGTTAACAAAAACGTCGAAATTTACACGCGTGTAAAAATTTTTTACACATGTGTAAAAATTTTACACGTGTGTAAAATATTTACACTCGTGTAAAATTTTCTGGCGTGTAAATTTGATATGAATCCCAGCCCAGGTGCTGGGTGCGATGACTCGCGACCGCGGATGCATTCCAAACGCGCCGCCAGCCAACGTCAGCTACATCGGAACCATCGTCGTTTAAGGTACTTTTTGCTTTTGGAGCCCATATTAGGGTTACGGTAGATTTTGATTTAGATGACGTAATTGGTTAGTTAGTAGTGGGGGGGACTATGGTCGGGTAATGGAGGTTTTTTTGGGGGGGGGGGGGTCCCCCGGGGAAAGTTTTTTTTTTTTTCCGGGGGTTGGGGTGTTTAAGGGGTTTTTTTTTGAATTTAAATTGATAGGGTTGGGGTAGTTTTTTTTTTTTTTTGGGGGGTGGTGTTTTTTGGGAAAATTTTTTA